GCCTCCCCCAGGGAGGCCTCAAGCGCTATGTATCTCCACGGAACTTTCGAGTCAAGAAATGTTGTCCGTTATCCCGTGTGCCAGTTCCCGTCACCGTAATTAACTTTGCCGCGTTTGCTTTCATAAAGCCTTCACTGACTGAAGCCCCGTCACGTACTTTTCTTCATTTGGACGAAGCCACAGAGGGAGGTTGACAATTAATGTTGGCGATGCAAAATGAACGCTCAGTAATATTGCTGAGTGTCTTGTACCGGAATCAATACTTTGTACAGGAGTTCACTGGCTGATAGTTCCCTGGAGTTTGGGCCGACTGGGTTTGAATCCCGCTTCACTTTCCAGCTGCAGGACTCTGGATAACTTACTTCAGGTTCCTACGCCTGTTTCCTTGCAAGAAAGAGGGGGTGTTGGATAGGAAATATTCCATAGGCTTGTGGTAAGCAGGAGATGAGACACCATGTATCAAGTGCCAAGCCCAGTGTTTGGCACATAGTGAGTATGGCACATATTATTTATTATTATTATTATTATTCCCCACAGCGAACCTGTTACCAACTGTATTTTGGCAGATGAGGAGAAAGAGAGGCTTGAAGTCTGGATTCAGGCTCCATGGGGCTAACTACCATGCGTCCCACCTCTTGGGTGTTGGCAGTCATACGTCCTTATCAGATTGGGCTTGAAGACTTGGGTCAGTTGGTCTTGAAAAGTCAATGAAAGCTTCCGGCATGTTATTTGATAGTTTGGAATTCTCCTTTTCCCAGGTGTATGTGCCAAGCCCTCTGATCTTTCTCCCTTATCCCTACCGCCTACCAGACGATGGGAATAAACTTCTAAGTTTGCAGGGGCAGCACAGTCAACCCGCTACGGTTGAGCAGTCACATCCCAGCCACCGACCTTCCCACCAGCTGTCCCACCCTCTACCTGCTGCCAAGTGGCCCTGGAAGAATCATCCAAGTGATTTCCTGCCCCGGGACACATCAAAGCCATCCCTCTCCCTCTCCCCATTCTTTCTACTGAATGCGCCACTGGTTGGAGTAAATGGAGGCAAGTGGCCTCAAGGACTGGAGGGGGGATGGGATTCGGGTCCACGGGAGGGGGGCTCAACGGCCAGGGCAGGGAGGTGAAGTCCCACGCAATGTCCAGGGATGTGGCCAGACACTCAGGCCCAAAAGGCAGCCGCGAAAAGTCCAGTAGGTTAGGCGTGTAATCACACACCCACATTCACTGCATGGGTTTCAACGGGAAGCCTGCTGCCTTGAGTTATGATTTCTATATTGTATAATAATCAGGCCACTGTTTTGAGATCGTGTCAGAGATAACAAAGCATCAGAAGCCTCTTCTGTTGCTGAAGAACCAATCAACCTAAACTAATACCTTAATGACCACTTTTCCCAACGAGAAAACAAATTCAGGCAAAAAAAAAAAAAAAAAAAAAAAAAAAAAAAAAAAAAAAAAAAAAAAAAAAAAAAAAAAAAA